TTTTATTGTCTTAATATATGGTAAGCTCTTTTTATTCCTAAATCCAGACTCCGCCTCTAATATTTTCCCAATGGTAACCTACGTTTATATTGATTGCTAGCGTTGGAATTCATAGTTCGGCCACTGATAACGAAGTAGAGTTATTCAGATTAATTAAAGAAGTTCCTTTAAATATTTGAGAAAAATGAAATATATGAATGGATAAATTAGGTTGAAACTAGAGATGTGCAATAAACCGCACAAATCGTAAAAACCACCCGCACCGCATAACGCAGTTTAAAACACTCGGTGCGGTTTGCGGTTTGCGGTTTGTATTTTGTTCAATCGCATTATGTGACGCAATTTGTGGTTTACGATTACAAAATTGTGGTTTAAACCGTACTGCATTGATAAAACCAGTTAATATATATATATATATATATATATATATACACACACGCACACACACACACAAATATTTTGACAGGTATACGGTTTATTAATTAAATTCATCCTAAATTAGTGGGGCATTATCTTAAGTTTTTAAAACGTAATAATATTTCTTTAAATTTAATTAATCAAAAATTTAATGCAGTGATCATTTTTTGTTTGGGTTTAGGTCATTTTTAGTCACTTAACTTTTGATTTTGTGCTCATTAACTCACTTAATTCTTTTTAAGTTTTAAAAAGTCATCAAACGTTTGACTTTATGCTCATTTAGTCACTTAACTTTTAAATTTGTGCTCATTTAGTCACCTAACTTTTAAAAATGTGCTAATTTAGTCACTAAATTTTTGAAAATTTTTTAAAAGTTTAGTGACTAAATGAGCATAATTTTAAAAGTTAGGTGACTAAATGTGACCAAACCAAAAGTTAAGTAACTAAATGAGCACAAAACCAAAAGTTTGATTATCTTTTAAAACTTAAAAAGAGTTAAGTGACCAAATGAGCACAAAACCAAAAGTTAAGTGACCAAAAATGACCTAAACCCTTTTTGTTTTTGTCAAAAAAATCCATTTTCAACTAACATTTAGCGACACCGCAGGCCAAAATGAAATTTTGAAAAGCAAATCAGAGAAACACATCGTTGAGATAATTCCTTTCTTATTTTAATCGTCATTATTTTTTCGTAACTTTTATATATATATATATATATATATATATATATATATATATATATATATATATATATATATATATATATATATATATATAAAAGTAGTTAAATACCATAATTCTATGACCACCAAAGTTTCTAATTACCACTTAGTGAGCTGACAGTGACGACAATGATCGTATTGTCATTAAATTTAAAGTAAATAATTAGTCAAACCGTAAAACCGAATAAACTGTCCGCACAAAACCGCACCGTATAATGCGGTTTAGTAGGTTCACGGTGCAGTTTGCAGTTTCTAAATAACTTAAACCGCATATGCGGTGCGGTTTGCGGTTTTGACTCTAAACCACATCAAACTACACCGAACACACCCCTAATTAAAAGACATACGTTGAAATGTTATTTTAATACACAAAATGGATTGGGTTGTCTAAGAAAAATACAAAGCCCATTTGGTGTTGTGGGTTTTGGTCCTTTTTGATAGGTCGACTTTTTGGTTTTTTAAAATTTTATGATTCAAGTCTAGGAGCCGACTTGTCATTTGATCATGATTAACATCATTTTTTTTATATTAACGTCATATTAATGGTTAAATCTATTATCTATTATTTATTATTATAATAAATAAAAATATTTTTCCTACTTGTCATATATATATAGAGAGAGAGAGAAAGAGAAAGAGAAAGAGAAAGAAAGTTAGGTTTAAATGTTTTTAACTATTGTGTACCTAAATACATCAATGAGAATTCAAGAAATAATAAATAATTAAATAAATCATTAAAGGTTATTTTGAATCTTTTGTACTTTTAATTAAGGAAATCATTTAACTGAAATCATTCAATTAAGGAAATAAACTAATCATTCAATTAAGGAAATAAACTAAATATATTTGACCTAGTTATGTTTGTGGCCGAACACTTCATCATCAGCATCAACACATCACCATCATTGATTATGCTTCTTCTTCTACAATCGACAGATCCAAAAGGGAGCACATACTCTCGTCTTGCAATCGATGATGGACTCTGGGGTCGATGAGGATGAAGAAGGAGATGCAGAGGAGCAGTGGCGCTGCTGTGGGGTTCGTGAACGCGAATGAGAAGTGAGGAGCGAACGGTGAGGAAATCCTTGAGTGAAGGGGTATGAACTCACCTTGAGTGAATTTCTTAGTGGATAAAGAGATGAAGATGAAGATCCTCAAGCTTAGAACACTTGAAGATGGTATTACCCTATGAATAATAACACATATAAATGTGGTGGGGTGGGTAGGGGTAAGGGGTGGGGTGAGGTGATGCTTACATTGTTATATGTTGGGTAATGGTCTTGATACATGTTGGTTAATGTTTTATGTTGGGAAAAGATGTAACAACCATGTCACTAAGTCAACTTTTCTTATATTTATAATAACCTAGGTAATTTATAAAAGTGGAGTAATTTTTATAAAAAGATGATATTCTTTATAAAAAGTGTGGTATTTTTATAAAGAAAATATGGTATAAATGATGTATAAATATTTAATTTGAATTATAAAAATTCAAATTGTTAATAAAATCATTATTATCAAAAATAATAATATGTTACACGAAAATTAGGTTGATCCCTAAATTATTTTCGTTAAAAGTTGGACGTTTTAGGCGGATATGGAATTTATCGTATTTGATGACGAATTCACCAAAAATTTGTATTTGTAGCATTTGTTATAAATTTGTCATGTAGTGTAAGGATTATGAATTCTACTACATAGTGTTATGAATATTATTTATACTAAAACAATATAAAATTGAATTACCAAATTGTTACGATACTAACCTTATTTAGTGTTTATTAGGGATGAGCAAAAGAACCGAACCGGCCGGAACTGGGAACCAGCTTCGGCTAAAATTAAGAACCGAATCGGCCCGGCGGTTCTACCGGTTCTGGTTCCACCGGTTCCCGGTTCCTACCGGTTCTTGTCGTGTCTTCAAATGTTGGAACCGGTCCTTGAAAAATAGCATCATACGGTTCCGGTTTTTGCCGGTTCCGGTTCCTACCGGTTCTCGATTCCAAAAATCCACAAAAATAATGTCCCGGTCCCGGCCCGACCGGTTCCATCGGGTTCCGATTCCGGTACCGGTTCTGGCCGGTTCCCCGGTCCATATGCTCATCCCTAGTGTTTATGTTCTATAGTTTCCAATAAGAGTTGTGCTTTGTATTATAACTTGTCAATCGTACATTGGACGCATTAGGGAATATCACATTTCACCTAAAATTCTAATACAAGTTGAGTTGACGTGGTTGACTTTTGTTGACTTTGTTTGATCCAGAATTAATAGTTGTCACACAGTAAAATTTGTATGAACCAACTTGGTCATTACATAATTTCATTATATTTTAATAGAATTTGAAATCAAATATTAACTGTAATTAGTGTCTTGACAGTTTTACCCTTAATTTACTTTTTCACCCAATTTTGATGTTGAAATCATTGTTGTATTGGTTCGATAATCGGTTTTTCTGTTATAACTTGCTCAAAGTTTAAATCTTTTACCTATTTTAAATACGCTTTTTGTTTATATATCAAAATAGTTAATTTATTCATTATAGATTCTTGTATTTATATGAAACTATTACTAAAAAACATGTAATGCTTAACAGTATATATATATATATATATATATATATATATATATATATATATATATATATATATATATATATATATATATATATATATATATATATATATATATATATATATATATATATATACACTTAAAAAAAATTTAAAAACTCGTATAATACACAAGTCTCACACCTAGTATACTATTAAACTACTCCTAAATTATTCCACCTATGTCCACTGTAGGATTTGAACCCTCAACCTACATTTTTGTTACATGCTCTCTAAAAATGACACATCAACAATTTCCACTTGTGGTTTTCTTAGATTGTTGATTTTTTAAAAAAGAAATAAAACTATTAGGTAATCAACAAATTATTAGCCTTTAATCTCGTAGTTTTAATACCATTTCAACCCTCTATTCTCGCAGTTTTAGAATATCTCTCCAATTAGTAGTCTGTTTTCTTTTCATTTAATTTCTCTTCTTTTACAAAGTCAATTCCAAACCCCTTCTCGCTCAACCTATCTCTTAAAGCGTTAATTTAAGATGAGAATCACCAATCATTCGTCAATAAGAGAAGATTTCAACAAGTTTGTAGGTTTACTGACATGTAGATTTCTACTATATTTGATAATTTTGGAGTAATAAGGTGCTAAATAGCCCCTGCATTGGAGACTGAGCTATTTGGGGGGTTTAAGTCCTCTTATTCTCTCTTTTCTTTGTTTGTCCCCTTAGCGATTTCAGTTAGTTTTCCTCCGATTGTTAAGCTCAACAATGGAATTAGGGCTTATATAAGACTTTCACAGGGCAACCCTGATGAAATAGTAGAAGTTCATAAAATTATTCATAAGTCGTACATCAGGATAACCTGATTATTTCAAATCTTGCATTGACTTCCATAAATGGACTAAATATTTTTCAGGAATAGTTTCATCCTCATTTTCAACTGTATCACCTTCAACTTCAGCACCTCCACCACCTTCAACTCTAACAGATGTCTTACTGCCCCTACCACCTCTTTTACTACCCCTACCACCTCTCTTACTACCCCTACCACCTCTGTTAGCCACTACACCACCTATGTTACCCACTGCACCACCTCTATTACCCCCTCTGCCACCTCTACTACCCATTGCACCACCTCTACTACCTCTAACACCACCTCTTACACCACCTCTAGTCCAATGACTGATATCAGGATCCAATCTTGGTCTACCCATTTTTTTCTTGGGTTTGGGTTCTGGTGTGACCTTGGGATTCTTACAGGATGCCTTGTTATGACCCCTTTGAAGACAATTTTTGCATTAGACTGTCCTTCCTATTCCAGTAACCTTCATCTTGTTTTGGGAGTATTTATCTTGAGATGCAGTGACATGCCTCTTTCTTTTCAGAGTTGGTCTCCCTGGCATTCTTCTAGCCAAATGGGGTAGAGGCTTTATGTATGATGTTCTAGGCCATAAATTTCTACCATTCACAGGCAGTATATTGTTTGCATATATGGCCTTGAACCTGTCCACATTAAACCACTCACTTATGAAATGAACAGGATCTTGTCCAGTGAATAGTATTGCACACTATGCATGTACACATGGAATTCCTGAGATATCCCAAAGCTTACAGCTGCACACTCTGCTTTGTAAGTTAACCACGTACCCTTCTAATCCATTCCTGGCTTCAAAAATAGATGGTCCACTTGGATTCACATTCCAATTCCTACAATAGCATTACTAAATGAAATCATAACAATGAAATTAGAAGAATGATAACAAGGAACAATAAAAATTCTAAGACAAACCTCAAATCCTCTCCAAACTTGTTCATTTTCTTGATAGCAGCTGGACAAACCACTGATTCCCACTTTTCTGCCTTTTGTAACATATGGTAGAACCTATCCATCATGTACAACCTAATTTCTTCAAACATTGCTAGAAGGGGTTTTTTTCTAGCATCCAATATGATGGCGTTGAAGCACTCTGCTATGCCATTTTCAACTGCCTCACATGCTACATCAGTCCTAAAAAATGCCTTGCACCATGTGTGAGGATGTCTTGCAATCAAATGTTCATAAGCATTTGGATTAACCTCTTTTATATCATCCATTTTCCTCAGAAATTCACTCTCTACAGTTGATAAGGAAGCTGCCCAGAACATATTCTTGAACTCCACTCCATAATAGGTCTTCCTAAAGTTAGCATATATGTGTCTTGCACACTGTCTATGCTCCACATTTGGTAGGACTTCCTTGGTTGCTTCAAGCAATCCCTACAATTTAATGAATACATAAACATATAAGATGATGTTAAGGAAAAATCATAAATATGCTAAGAAATTACAAACCTTATGTTGATCAGAAATCATAGTAAACCCTCCTCCATTTAGCAGATTAAGATCCTCTGTGAGCAGTTCCAGAAACCATTTCCAATTAGCTTTGTTTTCAATGTCAACAATTGCCCAAGCAATTGGATAAACTTGGTTGTTTGCATCCCTCCCTATTGCTGTGAGTAATTCTCCTTTTCATGTCCCTTTCAAGAAAGATCCATCTAGATCAATTACCCTACGACACCCTATTTTCCAACCTTCCTTGATTGCTTTAAAACACAAATACATCCTGTGAAAGTATGTTGTTTGATCTGGATTTACAGTGACACCAACTTGGACAGTGCTACCAAGATTTGACCTTAGTAACTCATGATAATTGTCCCACACCCTAGCATAATGTTCTGTGAGTTTACCATCTATAATGGTCATTGCTCTACACCTTGTTCTATAAGCCTTAGACCAAGACACACCACAATGAAATTTGGTCCTAATTATTGATTGCATCTCCTTACACTTCAAGTTAGGTTTCATTATCAACTCCTTCAAAAAGTGTCTTGATAGCCATCTGGGACTCAGTAAATTTGAAATATTGAAATTTCTAACACATTTGTGCCCATCCACTAAGGTTTTAATCTGAAAAGACCTGTCTTGAGTCATCGAGGAAGCATGAACTCTGAATGAGCAGGGTTGAGACTTCATCTTAGAACCACATTTGGCAGTTAATCTCACAGTGTCACACTTCACAAATTTAATGTTATACCCTGACTTAATAGCATAATTAGTGAGACATTTTTGCAACTGGTGTGGTGATTCATACCTTTCACCAAGAAGGGGCTTCATCTTATTCCACTTAACTGATGGTTCGTGAATGGGGAAGCCTGCACCAACCGCATCTCCCAAATCAAGATCATTAGCCCCTGCAGTGTCATCGATTTCCTCTTCTGAACCAAACCCTTCTTCATCTTCATCAACTAAGTCATTGTCTTGATCAACTTCATTATCTTCATAATCATAACCGAAGTTAAGGAAAGCATCCTTGCATCTCTCTTTACCTTGTGTCTTGAAATCAACTTCTTCCATTTCCACATCTATGTGCTCAGTATCGAGCACCTCTTCATCATCTTCATATTCTTCAGAGTCGTATTCTTCAGATGACTCATGGTGAACCTCTGATTCGACAGCCATTGGGTTTTACCTTCGTTTCTCTCAGTAAAACCCTACTTCCTTCGTGTATCACTCTGTAAAAACCCTAACTTTTTCTCTCAATCGATCAACCAAACGTCAAATGCAGTAGAAATGGAAGGATAAAAGTCACTTGTACACGTAAGGTGCCACATGCGTATAGTACCGGTGGGATACCGGCTAACCCATTAAATTTCCCGTTTTGATTACGTTTACAGGTATTTAGGACTTAATTGCAAAAAAAATATAGGGGCTAAATCGATTATACGAGCAATACATAGGGAGTTTATTGCAGTTTTCCCTGAATTAATCACCAAATGCGACAAAATTTAGGTCCGTCTAAACACCAAAACTTAACGAAACAAACTTGGAAATTAACCTAACTATTAAGGTAACGTATTGTGATTTGATAACAATGTTTGTTATAATAATTTGAATTTTAATAATTCAAATTAAATACTTTATACATCTTTTAAACCCTACTTTCTTTATAAAAACTCCCAACATTTTATAAAAAATACTAGGATTTATAAAAGGTTGACTTTTATGTTTTTATAAAAATGGGTAGTAATTAGGAAGTGCCCTCTTCTTAATAAGCCAACTACTAAGCCTAAGTATCACCATTTTTAAGTCTCATCCATGTCCCCTTTCACCACCCCACCCTTACCCCCTATCCATGCCCACCCTCCCTCCCTCCTTATTAGTTGCGGTCGAGGACTCCTCAACCACCACCATTTCCATTTTGTTTCACTCTTCTTCTGTAACGATCCAAAATACGATCCAAATTTTTTTGTTTAAATAGTGTTAAAAGCTAACAATCATCCATAATATATATAATGAAACCGTACGTCACAAATCCCAAAAACTTATAATAGATGTGTCCTGACAAGAAAACTGTATCAACATATCATAGTATCTGAAACAAACTCCTAGGATAAAAGAAACAGAAGATGTGGTATGTGCGATGCCATCAACCTGAGCTCTTCCAATTGCTAGAGGGAGTACTTGAAACCAAAACTGAAAACTGTAAGCACGAAGCTTAGTGAGCTCCCCCAAACTACCACATACCATACAATAACATATAAACACATATTGGGCCTTGCACACTACATCAGACCGAAGTCCGAAAACTGCATCGGACCGAAGTCCGGAACTAACCAGGGCCTTGCCCTCTGCATCGGACCGAAGTCCGGAAACTGCATCAGACCGAAGTCCGGAACAGACTGGGACCGTGTCCCCTGCATCGGATCGAAGTGCGGAACTAACTACATCGGACCGAAATCTAGAACTGACTGGGACCTTGTCCCCTGCATCGGACCGAAGTCCGAAAACTGTCTGAGCATAACATAGCATAGCATAAACATATCAATCAGCACAAGCACATATACTGCATACTGCATCGGACCGAAGTCTGGGACACATAACACAAAACATGCTTGAATCACAAAGACATCAAGCAATCTAACTACTGCATTGGACCAAGATCCGGAACTACTGCTAACTAAACGGGTCGGCATTGTGGCCGTAGACCCGCTCCTACTGGAAGGAAATTCACCTCGTAATGTTGGCTGCTGAGATGCTTACTCTAAAACTGGCTGACTGCTGCTCCGGAACTGTCCGGCTATAAATCCCAAAAACACTAGATCAGGTACTTATAAATGCCCTCAGCGTAAAATGAATGTTTTACCCCTGGTCAAAGTCAACTCACTAGTCAAATTCAACTTCCAGTTGACCGGACTTGTCGAGTCAGGCCGCAGACTCGCCGAGTCCCTCCACTACTAACTCTGACTTTAACTCACCGAGTCCCTTCCCCACTCACTGATTCACCCTGAACTCACAAATCGAATAAAGATGGGGGGACTCGCGACTCGACTCGTCGAGTCCGAAGAACAACTCACCGAGTCCTAACGTGCAGATTTCATACAATCGATTCTAATCCTTTCCAGAGCATCTAACTCGTAGATCTAAGCTCCTGGGACCATCTGAACACGTAAAGTTGCTAGCTTTACGTGTAACTAAGAAGGAATGAAGCTATTTCACTCAAACTCTACTTTAATCGGGAAAACTCATCCGACTCGCCGAGTTGCTCATCCAACTCGTCGAGCCCACGGCTACCTTCATATGTCTCGTCGAGACAACCTTGCGACTCGTCGAGTCCATTCAGTCCTTTTTCCATACAGACTTGATTTGAGCCATGCAATGGCTTCAAATCACATATCCAAGCTTCTAGGGCATGCTTATCAGGTAAAGTTGCAAACTTTACATGCATGCATGGCTTTAAATGCCTAAAATGCCAAATCTAGGATCTTAATGAGGTTCCAAGCTCAAGAGGGACCTCAATCACGACCACAACTGAAACTTTACACTTCTAGAATGCAATGAGGGTCCAGATCTGAATTATAACCCGATCATAAGGCTTTATCACAAAGGATTTGGGGGTTTTTGGGCTTAAAAGTAACAATTTGGGGACAAACAAGATCTACTAGATCAATAAGTATGATGGAGACTTTATTACCAGAAAAGATGACCACAAATGAGTGTGTTCTATATCTACTTCCTATTCCTTGAACTCTTCAACCTTCTCCTTCTTCTACTTGCTCCAAAAGTTCCTTCACAAAGTAACAATCACTCACACACTCTCTAAGGGGGGGCTAGGGTTCGGTAAAGGATACTCTGAGGGTGATGGAGGCGAGGTTGGGGTGCATTAATGTGTTTAAATAGGGTGCAAACCCTTAAAATTAGGGCTTCATCCAGACAGGCGTACTCGCCGAGTCGCAGCGTATGGACTCGTCGAGTAGCCAACTCAATTTGCGTAATCATCCTGTCTCTACTCGACGAGCAGGCTACAGACTCGTCGAGTACCCCTTAAGAAATGGAAATACTTTATTTAAATCACATACCAGAAAGAGGCGTTACAACTCTCCCTCACTTATCTTAGACTTCGTCCTGGAAGTCTGTTGCTACTGTATCTGAAAATAATTCTGGATAATGCTCCCTCATATCCCCCTCGGACTCCCACGTCCACTCTGAAACCTTTCGGTGCTGCCACTGCACCTTCATTAACTTAACCACCTTGTTCCTCAAGGCCTTCATATTTCAATCTAAGATCGCCATTAGTTTCTCGATATAATTCAGGTTGCTATCAACCTGAATATCCTCCAAGGGTACAACTGCTGACTCGTCCACCAAACACTTTCTCAACTGAGAAACATGGAAAGTGTTGTGGATCTGTCTAAGCTCTTCCAGAAGATCCAACTGATAAGCAACCCGACCCACCCAAGCCAAAACCCTAAAAGGACCAATGAACATGGGACCCAACTTGCCCCTCTTCCGAAATCTGATAACACCCTTCCAGGGTGATACCTTCAGGAGGACCATATCGCCCACCTAAAACTCCAACTCCGAATGCCACCTATCGGCGTAACTCTTCTGACTACTCTACGCAGTCTGCAGTATGCTATAAACCTTCTCGATCAACTCTGTGGTCTTGAGCACCTCCTCGGTGCTCCAGATGACTCGCTGACCGACCTCAACCCAACAAATCAGGGTCCTACATTTCCTTCTGTAGAGCATCTCGAAAGGAGGACGGTCAATTCTAGCACGGTAACTATTGTTATACGAAAAATCAGCTAATGGAAGATACGTATCCCAACTACCACCAAAGTCTAGAACATATGCCCGGAGCATGTCCTCGAGAGTCTGAATCTTCCTCTCGCTCTACCCGTCCGTCTGGGGGTGGAAAGCGGTGCTAAAATGAAGACGAGTCCCCATCTTATCATAGAACCACTTGCAAATTATGGAAGTAAAATGGACGTCTCGGTCTGACACCACCGAAACAGTCACTTCGTGCTGTGCCACTACCTTGCGCACATAGATGTCGGCTAGCTTCTCAGCCGATATGCTCTCATGGATCGGTATAAAATGCGAGCTCTTAGTCAGCCAATCCACTATGACCCAAATCAAATCCACTCCCGGAGCGGTCCTGGGAAGCTTAGTGATAAAATCCATGGTAATGTCCTCCTATTTCCATACGGGAATGTCTAATGACTGCATCTTGCCGTGGGGTCTCTAGTGCTCTACCTTGACCTTCCTGCAGGTCAGGCATCTCTCCACATACCATGCGAACACCACTTCCCCCAACTCCAAATACCTTCCTGCATGTCAGGCATCTCTCCACATACCTTCCTGCAGGTCAAGCATCTCTCCCCATAGTGGTAGTTGTTCTGAATTGTTGTTATTCTGCGAGTTGGGTCTCTTTCTTGGAGGCATCTTGATCTAATAAGATCAGGAAGAGAGGATGATAAGTCCTCTGAATTGAATCAAGAGATATGATACAAAGGATATCTCTTTATGGTATACATAGAATTCTATTAAGCGATAAAACAGGAAGGAGTTATCAAACAGATAAATTATCGCTAAAAGAATGATTAAGGGGCAACGCTAGGATGAGGAATTCTATAACAGATTTGGCTCGAGAAATACTCCCATAGTATTTCATGATTCGATGCAGCGACGGCTCATTGTTTGGGTATTGGGTAAGTTTTAGGCATGCTGCATACCACAGTCACTCCCAAGCACATGTTGGCCGTGTCTCGAATGAATATAGTTGGCCAGGCTATATTGATACTAGACACGACTACATAGCTGCCCAGGTTTAACCGCAGTGTACAACACCCATTTACTTATGTTTTGTTCTACTTGTAGTTACGGATTTTCGACTGTCGGGTATACTTGTATACTTTTGAAAATTACTTATATTTGAGGTATACTTTTAGTTCAGAGCATTTAGGCCCTTTAGTGTTTATAGTTTTCACCATGTAAGGTTTGGTATACTCTATTCACTATAAACAAGGGCTTTGATACCAATCTGTCACACCCCGAAATCCAAAGGCGGAAACGTCTCCGGGGTTGACTCCAAGTTGAGTATCAAATCCAATGTACATAGTAAGCAAAGTAAACAACCATTACATTACATATCAAAGTTTAAATTTGTTCAAAAGTAA